AAATCTCAGTGACGGACATGTGTAAGGTCTCATTTTCCATTGGCAAACACTATATAGGTGAAGTGCTTTGTGACGTAGTGGATATGGATGTCTGTCACTTAATTTTGGGCCGGCCTTGGCAGTATGACGTTGGAGCAATATTTAACACTTATTCGTTTGAGTGGAAAGGCAAGTGATTAAGGTTACTACCTTGGGCACTTGACCAGGATGCAAAGGTTACCAGCTCTCAAAACATACTATATTCTATATCTGGTAAGAACTTACTGAAGGAATGGAAGGAGTCCTTCTGTATCATGGCCTTGGTTATTAAAGGGCAAAACGAATCCCCACCTCCAGTCAAAATTCCTAAAAGTATTGATTTGTTGTTGTAGCAATTTTCTGATATAGCTCCACCGAAACTGCCATCCGGACTTCCACCTATGAGGGCAATTCAACATCAGATTGAATTTTTACTGGGCTCGTCATTACCGAACCTACCTCATTACAAAATGAGTCCCAACGAACATAAGGTTCTGCAACAAATCGTGGATGAAATGTTGGAGAAACAGTTGATTCAACCAAGTTTAAGTCCTTGTGTTGTACCATCTTTGTTAGTACCAAAAAAAGACAGCAGCTGGAGGATGTGTATGGACAGTCGATCAATAAACAAGATCACTGTTAAATTCAGGTTTCCGATGCCGAGGATGGAGGATATGCTAGACAAGCTATCAGGAGCACATGTGTTTTCTAAGCTGGATTTGCGAAGCGGATACCATCAGATCCGAGTCCGTCCGGGTGATGAATGGAAGACGGCATTCAAAACGCGCCAAGGCTTATACGAATGGAAAGTGATGCCATTTGGGTTGTGCAATGCGTCGACCACATTCATGCGCTTGATGAATGAAATACTAAAGCCTGCCCTGAATCGTTGTTGTGTGGTATACTTCGACGATATCCTAGTATTTAGTTCTTCATTAGAGGAGCATATTGAACACCTTACAATCATCTTTGAGATTTTGAGAAAGAATAAACTCTTTCTGAATTTGCTCAAATGTGAATTTGCAACCTCACGGGTTGCCTTCTTGGGTTTTATTATATCTTCGGAAGGCATCATGGTGGACCCGAAGAAAGTGGCGGCTATTGTGAACTGGCCAACACCCCGAACTTTGTTTGAGATTCGCAGTTTCCATGGTCTGGCTAATTTCTACCGCAAATTTATTAAGGGGTTCAGTATGATTATGGCACAAATTACAGATGTCTTAAAACAAACCCAATTCTCTTGGTCAGATGAACAACAGAGTAGTTTTGAAGCTATTTGTCCACCGCTCCTGTATTATCATTACCGAATTTTGAGAAGCCATTTACGGTTGACACTGATGCTTCCACAATAGGAATTGGTGCAGTCCTCTCGCAAGACAACAAGCCCGTGGAGTTCTTTAGTGAGAAGTTGAGTCCGTCAAGACAACGTTGGACAGTATATGAGCAAGAACTTTATGCCGTTATTAGAGCGCTGAAACAGTGGGAGCACTATTTATTACATCAAGATTTTGTTCTTTGCAGTGATCACAAGGCATTACAGTACATTAATTCTCAAAAAAAAAAAAAAAAAGAATGCACGCACTGTGGATTATTTTTTTACAGAAGTCTACATTTGTTCTCATACACAAAAGTGGCACACAGAATTGGGTGGCAGATGCTTTGAGTCGCCGGATTACTGTTCTGACTAAGCTACAAACCGAATTCACCGGCTTGGACTGTTTACAGGAGTTGTATCCTAATGATGATTTTTTAAAAACGTTTTGGGCAAAATGTAATAACCAAGAACATGTTATTGATTATTCATTGCAGCAAGGGTTCCTTTTCAAGAACAACTTGCTGTGTGTGCCGAGTTCTTCTTGGAGGCAACGAATTATACATGAGGCACACGCTGGAGGCATGTCCGCTCACAATGGCCGTGATAATACCATTGCTAACTTGCAGAGGAGGTTCTTTTGGCCGCAATTGAGGAATGATGTTACTAAATTCATCCAGAGGTGTGCGGTGTGTCAAAGCCACAAAGGAGGAGGCCAAAACACTGATTTATATCAGCCGTTGCCAGTTCCAGAAACAATTTGGGAAGATTTGAGTTTAGATTTTATTTTGGGACGGCCTCGAACCAAACGAGGTAATGACTCTATTATGGTCGTGGTCGACCGTTTCTCTAAGATGGTGCACTTTGTTGCCTGCAAAAAAATGTTTGATGCCCTCAATGTGGCCAAGCTATTTTTCAAAAAAGTGGTTCGGCTTCATGGTATACCGAGGAGCTTAACTTCTGATAGAGACGTGAAATTCATAAGCCATTTTTGGCGGGAATTGTTGAAGCGATTGAATACACAAATTCAACTTAGCTCTTCCTACATCCTCAAACAGACAGGCAGACGGAGGTTGTTAACCGAACTCTCGGTAATCTATTACGTTGTTTGGTACAAGAACATCCTAAACTCTGGGATGAGGTGCTTGGTCATGCTGAATTTGCCTTCAACTCCATGACCAATCAGTCAACTGGTATGTGCCCATTCAATATTGTTTACACTAAAATGCCAAACACCATCCTTGACATTGCAGTTCTACCGAAAGTTCAAAGCAAAGCTGCTAATGCTTTAGCGGATCAATTCACAACTCTCTTATCTGAGGTGCGGCTAAAACTTCAAGAATCAAATACTAAATATAAACTTGCGGCGGATGTTCACCGCCGGGAGAAAATCTTCCACCCTGGAGATTTGGTGGTGGTACGTTTACACCGTGAACGTCTTCCTCCTGGCAGTTATTCCAAGCTTACTAAGAAGAAATGGGGCCCTTTTCCCATTAGTAGAAAAATCAACGACAATGCCTATGTCGTTGATCTGCCATCAGAATTCAACACGTCTCACACATTCAATGTGGCTGACATATATTCTTATACTCTGCCTGATGATAGCAACACCAATCTTGAATCTGTTAGCATAGATTCCAATCAAAGCGGGGACGAATGATGCGGTGCATCCATGCGTAACACTGACCCAGGGAAGTATTAGTTATTATTAAGACTTTTACTAATATTACTATTTACTGTTTAAGTTGGTTAGGGAGCATGTGCTCCACTACTTTCTTTTCCATAGTTAGTTATTATGCTTTATACCGCACTTTTTACAGTTCAGCCCTTTTGTAGTATGGCAGGGAGATTGGTTTTATACCCTGGCCGATGACTATAGGCATATAGAAAAAATATACTCAACAGAAGTTGCTACTGTTCCATTGGAATTCCTTTTTCTTGTTCCTCTGTTTCTTCCTTGCAGGTGCAATCGGCATCCGCTTCCCTGTCCAAATATATGTTCCATTGGTGATATTAAATACGGCTCTATATTTTTATTTGAGTTTTTAACAATGGTTGAAATTAAACGTATAATCAACAAATTTGTTTATGTTTTAAAATTTAAACACGAAGCATATAATTTGTAATAAAAATAAACCTTATATCATTAAAAAAATTATTATTTTTTAATTTAAACTAGATTTCAGAATTTTGATATGCTATAGATATACAGATTTTAGAAAAAAAATTGATGCACCAAATTTTTGCTCTTTAAGCATTAAGTTGATATAATTAAAAAAAAAAGACCAATCAAAACATAATTTTATTATTATCAAAAAATGTTTTATTATAAAATAATAATCGAGAATCTAAAAAAACATAACAAATAAATTTGAACTATGATACTAAAAGGTTAAGTTAAAAATAAAATAATAATAAAAATTAAGTTAAAAATTTATAGTATTTTGATATATAATCTTATAAAAGATTTGATAAAATTATTTAATTTTAATTCAGAAATATTAGTTGATTATTATATTTATCTCAATATATAAAAGGATATCAAGATAATTTATTGTCATACAACAGTAGCATAGTACCTCGGTAGTTATATTATCCAAATAAAATTTATTGATTTATGTATAATAACTTTAAAAAGCAGCTATCTGGATAATAATTTCATAACTTGTTTTATCAACCTGTGCAGCCGTCCCAAAGGAAGCCTAAGTGCAATGGGCCGAACTGCAGGTGGCCTACAAGAGAAGCAAAGAATATGAAGGGAAGGCTTGAGCTAACCGCCACGCATCAGATCCGACTTGCTTCTCGTCCAATTCCCACCCAAATCTCATAAAATCCCGTTATCCAATCCTTTCGCTTGCGTTTCGCCCTCCCGTCTCCCTTCTCCACAGTCAACCAGGGAGGGAGACCACCGGTTGTGTGTGGCTCTCTCGCTGCAGATAAGGCTCCAACTCCTCCGGGATTCTGTGGCCAAGAACCTGTGAAACCCTACGCATCTTTACTTCACACAGCAGAAGGTCAACAGGAAGCCCCCGCCATGTCCGCCCTTCAAGCGTCCCTCCTCTGTCGCTCCTCCTTCTCGCCGTGCTTACCCAGCCAACCTCTCTCCCTCTTCCCCCGCCAGCCTCTATCCCTCTTACCCCGCCGTCCCGTCGCCGCTTCTCCTTTATTGGCCTCCTTTTCTATCGCTTATTCCCATCGCCGGCGCCTATCTGTCTCTCCATTTCTTGCATTGCCTGAGAAACACGGCCCGAATACCCAGGACGATGTCTCTTCTTCGAGTCCGGCGGACTCCGGACCCGACGAACCGACGGTGATGGCTGGAGATTTGGGCTCTTTGGAGAAATCGTCGGCGGTGGAGGTGCGGACTGAGTCGCAGGAGAAGAGATTTCCGTTACTGGTGTTCTTTGTTGGCTTGTGGGATTTGGTGAGGAGAGGGTTGGGCAGGCTGAACTTGTCGGATTGGCTGAACTGGTGGCCATTCTGGCGTCAGGAGAAGAGGCTGGAGCGTCTCATTGCCGAGGCTGATGCGAACCCTAAGGATGCTGAAAAGCAGAGCGCTCTACTGGCCGAGCTCAACAGGCACAGGTTTATTTTTTTCAAATTTCTTCCTTTTCCCTCATTTCACTAGATAAACTGGTTCAGATTTTTACCTTTGTTTAGCCTTTCTTGCGAAAGTATGCATTTTGAAATGGGTTCTGTCTCATTGAATGAATTGTGTTCTCATTGAATGGATTGTGTTCTCATATGATTGGAATTTAATATGGCAAAATGAAGAGATCACATTTTTACTCTCATATGCTGGACAGATTCATCCTTATAAGGTTTAAATATAAATGACCATTTTCATTGTTATATTATCTATTCTTGCAAGATCATTTACTAGCTTTTCGTGCAGTATAAAGCAAGCTGCACACTTTTTATTTTAGACAGTTTGGAAACTTAAGTGGATAATCATAAGTTATGCTATTGAAATTTTTGCAGTCCTGAGTCTGTCATCAAACGTTTTGAGCAAAGAGACCATGCAGCTGATAGTAGAGGGGTTGCAGAATATCTGCGAGCCCTGGTTGTCACCAATTCCATTGCAGAATATCTTCCAGATGAGCAATCCGGCAAGCCTTCTAGTCTTCCAATGCTGGTAGCACCTAGCTTTCCTCCTATTTGTTCTAAAGAGCTTGCTTTTGATTGTTAGCTTCCTACTTTTGACCCTATCTAGAAGTTTTTAATTTTTATTTATTGTTTCAATATTTGTGACCTTGCTGATTAAACAAAACTTTGTGACTGCATTTCATGCCTCTTTCGTTATAGTTATTTTCATTTTTTGATTTCCTTTTATTTTTTAGTAGAATTCATCAAGAAAAAATTCATTAACACTGTTAAAATTCAGGTTGCGTAGATGTATTAATGGGATTTGTAATTTAAAAGTATGGCTTGATTTGTTGGGAAAATTTCTTTTTTATTCCCTTTGTCATCTTTTCCATGAAAAGTATTTATGGTTTCTTAGTTTTTTTTGTTATGGTTGTTATTTAGCATGCATTAGTAAAACTATTAAAGAAACAGAAGAAATCTCCATTGCAGAGATTATATTAAGTTCTAAAGCAGTAAAATGCGTTGAAAAAAGTTCCATGGAACATTGTTCCTTAGCCTTTTTATGTCTAGTTTTTTGATAGCTCAAGTTCACCATACTCTTTCTCTATATTCGTAGATCTCATTTCTCTTTAATTTCTGTTGCCTCAAGCTGCAGGCTGCTTTATGGTAAAAGCTCTTTTTTGCTTATATAAGTTTAATGAATAAAATGAGAAAAAAAAATCTAATTGGAGCAGTATTTCATATTCAAAATAAGGTTTTGTGAAGTTTTATGGTATCTAGGCCTTGAAAGGATGCGCAGAAATCCGTACTGAACTTTTGAAGATATGAATAGCAAGATGCTGGCAACAATTTAGTTCCAATTCCTTGAATGCATGTGCTTATTTTTCCTCTTAAAGTCTAACTATAATTTGAGTGTCCACGCTGTTGGTTAATTTCCTTTTCCTTTAACATTAGATTAGGTGAACTTTATCTTTGTGGGTTTCTCAGTTATTTTTTGAAAATATATTTCTGTTAGTAGCTACAAGAGTTGAAGGAGCGTGCAGCTGGAAATGAGGATGGATCATTTCGGAACCCTGGCATCTCTGACAAGCAGCCATTGCATGTAGTTATGGTGAGGGCAAGGAAGTGAGACCTGTAATTTCATAGTCTTGTTCTGATTCTTTTGACACAATGCACTATTCTGACTGTCAGGACATTTACTTCATCCCCTAACTGCATTCATCAGGTTGATCCCAAAGCATCTGGTAAATCTACTAGATTTGCTCAAGAACTACTTTCAACCATCATATTTACAGTTGTTGTGGGACTGATGTGGTATGCAATTTTACATATTTTTACAAATTTATTTGTCTTTTTTATTTTTATTTTTTACTATTGTATCCTAGTAAATGTAGGTCTGTTTTAGTATAACAACAACAACATCAAGTCTTTATCCCACTATTTGGTGTTGGCTATATGAATCCTTTTTTCTCCATTGTGTTCTATTGAGAGTCAAATTCTCATTTAAATATAACACACCTGCTTAAGTGATTTTTTTTAAACTCTTCAATTAACATGACCTTGGGTTGGTTAACCATATGGCACTCAGTGCAAGGCAGAAACAAATGTAGTTTCTGCTTTTATGCTTCTCCCACCATTCTCCCCTCTTTAGAGTTTTTGTATGCCGGTGATGCATCTTATGTTCAGTATGTTCAATGTGAGCAAAAAGTGGATTAATTCTGCCGCTATTTGATGGGTATTTGGATGAGTTCACTTTTTAACCTCCTGTTTAAATTACTGTCACGTTGGTGGTCAGTTGATTCTGCTGGATCATTGAAGGGATAGTAAGGGTGCAACGCTTGGAAGGGATGTCAAACTTTCTTGGCATTCTTGATGCAAGTGATAAATAACTGCTAAACTCTTTATTTTTTGGACCAGAAATAGAAATTTTTTTACCACGGAAGTTGGAAGCCGCTATGACTTGGGATAGCTTGAGCCTGCTAAGGTAATATTGGATTGGAATGGGCCTTGTGTTATATACTTGTGATAGATTGAGTGCTGTGTGTATGAATAGTTTAAGCAATTATAAATTCTTATTAATAAAGGAATATTAACAAAAGTATTTTTGAGAGTAAGATTTTAGATTTTAAGATTTTGTCTTTGCATGAGGATGCTAATGTTATATGGGAAAAAGTGGTTAGTGATATTAAGAATATTGCAAAAGATATGCTTGGAGTTTCGAAGGGAAAAGCTCCTAATAGTAAAACTAGTTGGTTGTGAAATCCAAATGTGCAAAAAAAGATAAAAAAACAATAAGATTTGTTATAAAAATTGGTTTATATGTAAAAATTCTGATAATTAAGAAAGTAATAAAGAGGCTCATAAGGAATCTAAAAAGCTATTTGCGATGCAAAGAACTTTGCTTTTAATGATTTGTATAATAGATTAGATACTAAGAAGGGAGAAATATATATGTATAAATTAGCCAAACAAAGAGATATGAGTAGTAAGGAATTAGTTCAAGTGAAGCGTATTAAGGATGAAGAACAAAAAATATTTTTCTTAGAATATGATATTCAACAAAGGTGGATGAGATATTTTGCTAAATTTTTTAATGAATAATGTGAAAAAACGATTGACTTTAGTGACTTTAGCACCCTAAATGAAAATAAAGATTTTTGTTTTTATCGGTGTATTAGTAAAACCGAAGTTAGAGAGGCTTTAAAGAAAATGAAATGTGAAGAAGCTGTTGGACTTGATGATATTCCATTAGAGGTGTGGAAATCTTAGGTGATGAATGAATTTCTTGGCTTGCTAAACTTTTAAATACTATTTTGAAGACTAAAAAGATGCTAGATGAGTGGAGAATGAGTGTGTTAATTCCTATTTTTAAGAATAAAGATGATGCACAGAAGTGTGCGAGTTATAGAGGAATTAAGTTAATGTGTCATACTTTAAAGCTATGGGAGTGAGTTATGGAGCGTAGGTTGTGACGTGATACTAATGTTTCTCAAAATCAATTTGGATTCATCCCGGGTAGGTGTACTATGGAATCCATACATTTATTGAGTGGTTTGATGGAGAAATATAGAGAGAGTAAGGAGGATCTACATATGATATTTATTGATTTAGAGGAAACATATGATAAAGTTCCAAGAGAAGTGCTATGGAGAGTTCTTGAAAGAAAGGAGTTTATAACACTTATATTCAAATCATTAAAGATATGTATGCATGAGCTATTACTTGTGTTCAAACACAAGGTGGTTTTACCAACAATTTTCCTATTTCGGTTGGATTATATCAAGGATCAGCCTTAAGCCCATATCTTTTTTGCTTTAGTCATGGATGTTCTCACTATACATTTGCAAGAGGATGTACCTTGGTCTATGCTTTTTGCTGATGATATTCTTCTTGTTGATAATACTAGAGAGGGAGTAGAAGATAAACTTGAATTATGGAGGTCAACATTAGAGTCTAAAGTTTTTCACTTGAGTAGATCTAAAACTGAATATATGAAGTATAATTTTAGTAGCAATAGACCTAGTGAGGGGATTGTGACTTTGGGCGATCAAGTCATTAATAAGAGTACACGTTTTAGATATTTTGGATCTATTGTTCAAAGTGATGGTGAAATAGATGGGGATATTATCAGCAAAATTCAAGTTGATGGTTGAAGTGGAGGAATGTATCGGGCTTGTTGTGCGATAGAAAAGGCCCCCTCGAATTTAAGGGAAAATTTTATAAGATGGTGGTGAGACTTGCAATGCTTTATGGTGCCGAATGTTCTCCATTAGAAGAGAAGCTTAATACTAAGTTAAGTGTTGCAGAGATGAGGATGCTTAGGTGGATGAGTGACTTTACTCTTAGAGATATGATACGAAATGAGCATATAAGTGAAAAGGTTGGAGTAGCTTCAATGAAAGATAAGATTAGAGAGAGTCGCCTTAGATGGTTTGGTCACATTAAATGGAGGCCTTCCGATGACTTGGTTAGGAAAGTTGAGTATTAGATTTGACTTATGTTAAGAAAGATAGAGGTAGACCTAAAAAGACATGGTTAGAAAATATTAGAAATGATATTTTTTTATTAGATTTAAATGAGAATTTGACTTTTAACTGGACAACAATGACGAAAAAGGATTCACGTAGCCGACCCCACGCAATGGGACAAAGGCTTGATGTTGTTGTTGTTATTGTTGTTAATAAAGGAATATATCTATTAGATGTTCGGCTTATAAGCTTCTTGTCAGAAAATAGGTCTATTATTACGGTACATGTGTGTGGCTATATAGGTTCAGCTGTATATACTACTGGACATAAAAAATTAAGCACTTGGTTTTAATGTCATATTTCTTCCTATGAATGGTATCTTTTATGCATCTACATGCTATAAATATTATTTTTGTAAACTAGATTGATATGGATTGTCAGTGGTTTTCTGTACTCCCTAAAACTTATTGTATTTCAGTTATCAGCTTATGTCATGCTTTCTACTAGCAATTCTGCATGTCACTAACAGTTCTGGTACAGGGTGATGGGTGCGGCAGCACTCCAGAAGTACATTGGCAGCTTGGGTGGGATTGGGACCTCTGGTGTTGGCTCGAGTGCTGCCTATGCTCCTAAAGATCTGAATAAAGAAATCATGCCAGAAAAGGTACAAAGAGTCATTCAGTTTGAGCAACTGTTATTTGCAATGCCAACTTGTTTTTTGTTCAATCATTATGCCTATTCTACAGTCTACACTAAAAAACTGAGCAAAATAAAATAATGATGAAAAGTTATGTGGAGATATAATTAACTTATGGATCAAATGTGATTTATAATATACACGATCAACACGTTTAATTTTGGCCAGTTTTAGTATGGTTAACATGGGTTCATGATTTGGGAGGCAATTATGGTGATGGAGATATGATGCGGTCAACTAGAAAGAAAGAGTCAAGAGAGGAGAACACCAGGGCTAGTAGAACATAACTCAATTCAAAAACTAGAATGCTAACATCCAAAGAAACACCAAAATAAACGAAAGCCAAACAAACGAAATAAAATTAAAAATAAAAACAACTACCCTCAGAACAACCGACAAGCAGTTTTCTCACATGCAATGAAAAAGTAGGCAATATAAAAGAAGTGCATAAGGGCTTTCAAACCAAGGGTCCACCAAAGCTACAAGGTCCAACGTCCACCAAAACTCCTTGGGCAAATGCTACCAAATCAACCAACCAACACCTCCAATTGCTCAAGAAGAAAGATGCAAGTGGAGTGGAACTTGTGGAGAAAAGAAAGAGGTTAGAAGCCAGGACGAATAGTAGGGAGGAAGAGAGAAATGCAACAAGCTCTCAAGCTTTTCCAAAGAAGAAACGCACAGGTTTTTTAAGAGACTTTGCTCAAATAATCAACAACCTTTTATGTTTTAAAACACCTCAAAAGGTGGCAGTCAAACAACCAAACCACCTCCAACCAAACCAATCAGGTAAGGGGAAATGGAAGGACATCTTTCAGTCCAGAAACAACACCCGAACAGCCACATAAAAAATCGAAAAAGGCAGCCAAGGGGGAAGGAACGTACAGTCAGGGAAACCAGAACAGCAGCCAGGGGAACCGGAACAGGCAGCCAGGCAGGGAAAACCGAAGAGTCACATGGAAGGGGAAAGAGCAAGAGACACTCCATATAATGAGCTAAAAAGGAGGAGAACTTCCCATCATAATGAGCCGAAAAATAGCAGCTCAAACATTAATGAGCTGACACATAGTAGCTCAAAAACACAGCCAAAACTGAATAGCCAAGCTCAACCCGAGAAGCAACCAGAAGCCCAAGAACCAAGGAACCCAAATACCTAGCACACCCAAATCTTGCCAAGCCCAAGCACAACCTACTCATGATCATTGGATGCTTTCCATCATAGGATAGCATAAAAAAATTAAAAAAATTATAGCATTCAAATTACAATAAAAAACTAAAATAAACTGAAATTTGCATGCATCAATTCCCCCATAGTGGGAGAATCTCATCTCCTGATGAGAAGGCTTCAACAACTTTCTGATAGAGATCTGAATGAAGATTTTTTAATTCTGTCGCATCTATCCACGTATAATCAGTTAACGGACAGTTGCTCCATTTAACCAAGAACCTTTTGTGCTTGTCATGCCTAGTCTTAGTAATCCTGATATCAATTACATATTCAATCCGATCATCTCTGTTTAGATTTGAAGTGAAAATTGGTAAAGTCTCAACTTCCACAGAATCATCAGAATTTCCTTCATACAAAGAAAGGTCAGAAATATTAAATACATGAGAAGTTCCAAGAATAATAGGAAGATCCAGGAGATAGACATTCGTGCCCAATTTTCGTAGAATACGAAAAGACCCAAATTTTTTCATGCTTAATTTGCCAACAGTACCAATAGGAAATCGTTGACGACGAAAATAAGCCATAACCAAATCACATTCTTTAAAATAAAGTTCACTCCAGTGTTTGCTAGCAGCAGATTTGTATTTAATATTAGCCATACAGAGTTTTTCAAGGACTTGCTGTTGGACAGATTTGATATGCTCAAAAGTTTCTATGGCTTCAACACTAACTTTGTTATGTAAAGACAAGCAATTTCTATCCAAAATGTGAGGTATAGGTTGAGCATAAATAATTTCAAAGGGAGGTTTGCCACTGGAGCGATTAACAAAATTATTATATGCAAACTCAGCTTGGGGCAATATCAAATCTCATTGGGAAGGTTTCCCACCAGCAAGACATCTTAGTAAATTCCCTAAGCTTCGATTGACAACTTCAGTTTGTCCAGCGGTTTGTGGATGATAAGCACTCCTAAACTGAAGAGTAGTTCCTAACTTAGCCAGAGTGTTCTCCAAAAGTGACTCAAAAATCTAGTATCCCTATCTGAAGTAAATGTTGGAGATATGTCATGGAGATGAATAATTTCTTTAAAAAATAAATTAGCAACATATGAAGCATCAGAAGCTTTTTTGCATGGAATAAAGTGTGTCATTTTGCTAAATCGGTCCACAACGATAAAGACAATCATATTTTCGTGCGGTAACTGACAGCCCTAAAACAAAATTCATAGAAATATCTTTCCAAGGTTTATTTGGAATTTGGAGGGGAGTATACAAACCAATGTTTTAAGATATTCCTTTGAAAGCCTGATAGATTTTACATTGTTTCACCAGCTTAGCAATTTGCTTTCTCATATGAGGTCAGAAATATTTTTCTTCCACTAAGGCAATAGTTTTCTCTTGACCAAAATGCCCACCCAGACCCCCACTATGAAGTTCTTGCACAAGTTGTTATCTTAAAGAATTTTTTGTAATACAAAGTCTAGAACCTTTAAATAGAAAATCTTGTTGAATGACGAATTGGGCAGATTGATCAGTTCCCGAAGTGAGACAAGATTCCCAAATACCCTTAAAATCTGAATCGTTAGCATAGGTGTCTTTTAAGAAATCGAAAGAAGTTATGGTTGGATAAATAGTTACCAAAAGATGAGACCTACTTAAAGCATCAGCCACTTTATTTAGCACCCCAGTTTTATGCTTAATATGAAATGAGTATTCTTGCAGAATTGAGGTCCACTTGGCATGTCATTTATTCATATTTTTTTGAGAACCCAAAAATCACAAAGCTTCGTGGTCAGTGTTTAAAACAAATTATCTTTGAATTAAATAACATCTCCTGAATTTCAAAGCTTGAATAATTGCATAAAATTCCAAGTCATAAATAGAATATCTAGTTCGAGAATCATTCAACTTTTCACTAAAGTATGCAATGAGCTATGATGCACCGACACTTCTCCTCAAAGAGGCGTGCAGTGTTCGACACGACACTCGCCCGACACTCCTCCGACACGTGTCGGACACACCAAAAACGTGTCCAATTAATAAATATTAAATACAAATTGGACATGCCTGTCCGACACGCATATCTTAAATATTTTATGAATTTTTTTAAATATAATTTCTTTTATTTGGCGGGATTTAAAATAAATTTCTTATTTCCTATCCACAACACCAAATCAACGTCTGCAATTAATACCCAATCATCGAATATTCTCATTTTCATTTCTTTTTGACAGTGAAGGTATTTTCATCTCATCTCTCGGTGACTAATAAACGGCATCGATGCCTGACTCTCGACATCCTAATACTAATCATTTAAAGCACAAATTCTAGTTAAATGACTTAATATTTTTAAATTATTTTTAAAACTATACTTATTTAATTTTATACACTATTTTTTTTTTAAATATAAAATCTATAATAACGTGTCCAATCCGTGTCCGTGTCCTATATTTTCAATAACTGACATGTCCCGTGTCCGTGTCGTGTCGTATCCGTGTCGCCGTGTTCGTGTTTGTGCATCATAGGTAATGAGCTTCCCTTTCTGGCTAAACACAACTCATATACCAATATGCGAGGCATCACAATCAACTTTAAAAACCTTTTCAAAATTTGGCAGGCTAAGGATTGAAGCTTGACTCATTTTTTCCTTGATTATTTGAAAAGTTTGTTCAGCTTCAGGTGTCCACTTAAAGATTCTTTTTTTTAAACAATCAGTGATAGGGGCAATTAGAGAGCTGAAATTTTTAATGAACCTATGATAGAAAGAAGCAAGACCATGAAACCCTCTCACCTCATTGATATTTTTAGGAGTAGACTAGTTTTGAATTGCCTCAATTTTAACAGGATCAACCTTAATTTCCTTCGCAGACACGATGTATCCCAAGAATGTCAATTTTGAAGTCATAAAAGAATACTTCTTCAAACTGATGTATAATTTTTGTTCTCTTAGAGTTTGCAGAATTTGTTTCACATGATTAAGTTATTCAGAGGGGTGAATCCTGTAAATCAGAATATCATCGAAGTGCATCACAACAAACTTTCTAATGAAAGGCCTTAAAACATGATTCATCGTTCTCATAAATGTGTTAGGAGCATTAGACAATCCAATAGGCATCACAAGCCATTCATACAATCCTTCTTTGATTTTAAAAGCAGTTTTTCACTCATCTCCCGGTCTACTCCTAATATGATGATACCAACTTTTTAAATCAATTTTAGAAAAGATTTTAACACCACTTAACATATCCAACATATCATCCAGCCTAGGAATTGTAAACATATGCTTGATGGTTATTTAATTTATTGCTCGGCTATCCACGCACATCCTCCAGGTTCCTTCTTTTTTAGAAGTAAAGCAGACACAACACAGGGGCTTAGGCTTTCCTTAATTAAACCCTTTTCTAACAATTCAGACACTTGCTTATAAAGTTTTTCATGTTCAGATGGGGGAGATTAGGCAATGTGGCTCCAGGGATTAAATTAATGTGATGTTCAATGTCGCTCATTGGGGGCAAACCTTTTGGCAATTCTTCAGGTGTTATGTCAGAAAATTTATTGATTAAATGTTGCATTTCTTTAGGAATTTGAGAGGTTGTGTCAGATTCTTTTCCTAGGACCAAATATGCTATCTCAGTTTGTTTCAATTCATTAGTGTTAAGAAGTAGTTCAGGAGTGGTTGTTTTTGCAATTTTGTTATTTTTTACAGGTGGGCCGGGAATGTGTTTTTGCGAAAAAAGAGTGAATTCCTTATTATTTTGAATTATAGTGTAGGTATTATTTTCCCTATTATGAATTGTTTTGTGATTGAATTGCCAAGGACGACCTAATAAGATGTGACAGACTTCAAGAGGCACAATATCACAAACAACTTGATCTTTGTAGAAACTCCTAATTCTTAGATTAACAGTGCATTGTTTTGTTATAGGAACCTCAACCCCTTTCTTCAACTAAGGATTTTGTATAGTTTGACAAGTGGTTTTGATTTCAATTTGAGCTTATCTACCATTAGTTGTAAAACAAAATTACCTGAACTCCCACTATCGATCGTTAGAGTGCAAAGTTTTCCCTAAACAATGCAGGTGGTTCGAAAAATGTTCATTCTAAGCCACTTATCCCCATTTTCCATTTTAGCAGTTAGGACTTGTCGGATTACTAAAAGTTGTTCACCTTCATCGCCCTTTACATCAACCTTTTCCAACTCGATTTCATTTTCAAGTTTAGATTCATTTTCTTCTTCTTATATTTCTTCATCATTTTTAATATAGTTATTTCTCGGAGGATTGTTTTTTCTACAAGTTGCTGAAAAATGGCCATATAACCCGCATTTATAACATGGTTCAATCAGTTTTGATTGTTCAGTAGGTTTTGGTCCCATTAATCCCTTACCTTTATCCAAAGTTTGAGTTTCAAATGTTTTACTTCGCACACCAGATGTTCCTATAGAAGTTTGTGAAGATTGAGTTTTAATTCCTCTAGTTGGTCGTCGCTTATAAGTTTCAGTTACTTTGTTATGACCCGGTTGATATTGTTTTTCAATTTTCAATGCCATTCGACAAGCCTTGTTTAGTTTAATTACATGGTGCAAATTTAGTTGATCTTGAATGGTCCATTTTAATCCGTTGATGTATCTAGTGATAGTTCTTTCCTCGGATTCATCTAAGTCGTTTAGAGATTGGAGTTTATAGAAAGTTTCGGTATATTCTTCATCTGTTTGATTGCCCTGACGAATGTTGTTAAATTCTTGAAATATAGTTAGTGCGTGGTCTGAAGGTAGAAATTTCCCTCTCATTTTTTCTTTCATACTTTCCCAGTTTTGTATTTTTTCTTTCCCTCACCTTAGTCTATTATTTTGAAGGTTTTTCTACCATATTAATGCATAACCAGTGAGTTTTAAGCTTGCAAATTTAACCTTCCTATTATCAAGTATTTTCTTCCATTCGAAGAATTGATTCATCTTTTCTACCCATTCGATGAATTAGTCGGGTTGTAGTTTTCCTTCAAAGTTATAAACATCGATTTTTAACCCATAATCCCAATTTCTTTGTTGCCTATTTTGATTTCTAGGGACTTTCTTCTCACTTTCAGAAGTTTGAACATTAGGATTGTTGACATTTAAATTTGCAAGAGTGTTAGCCATGTTGTTTATTTGATGTTGAAAATCCACTAACTGTTGCATCATTTGTTGTCAATCTCCTTGATTATTAGCCATTTTTGTTTCTTAAGAAAAGACACACTCACCAACCTAAGATATGCTAACATAAGCTCTGATACCAAACTTGATGCGGTCAACTAGAAAGAAAGAGCCAAGAGAGGAGAACACTAGGGCTAGTAGAACATAAATCAATTCAAAAACTAGAATGATAACATCCAAACAAACACCAAAACAAACGAAATAAAATTAAAAATAAAAACAACTATCCTCAGAACAACTGACAAGCGGTTTCCCCACATGCAATGAAAAAGTAGACAATATAAAAGAAGTGCATAAGGGATTGCAAACCAAGGGTCCACCATAGCTACAAGGTCCAACGTCCACCAAAACTCCTCCGGCAAATGCTATCAAATCAGCCAACCAACACCTCCAATAACTCAAGAAGAAAGATACAAGTGGAGTGGAACTTGCAGAGAGAAGAAAGAGGTTAAAAGCCTAAGGCGAAATAGTAGGGAGGAAGAGAGAAATGAAATAAGCTGTCAAACTTTTCCAAAGAAGAACCCTCAGGTTTTTTAAGAGACTTTGCTCAAATAATCAACAACCTTTTATGCTTCAAAACACTTCAAATTTATAGGAGAAAAGGGGGCAGCCAAACAGCCAAACCACCTCTAACCGAACCAATCATGTAAGGGGAAATGAAAGGCCAGCATTCAGTCTAGAAACAACACCCGAATAGACACACAGAAAATCGGAAAAGGAAGCCAAGGGGGAAGGAACGGATGGTTAGGGGAACCGGGATAGGCAGCCAGGGGAACCAGAATAACAACCAGGGAAACCAGAACAGGCAGCCAGGCAGGGAAAACCGAAGATTCAGAGGGAAGGGGAAATAGCAAGAGACATTCCACATAATGAGCTAAAAAGGAGGAGAACTTCCCATCATAATGAGCTGAAAAATAACAGCTCAAACATTAATGAGCTGACACATAGTAGCTCAAAAACACAACAAAAAACCGAGTAGCCAAGCTCAACCCGAGAAGCAACCATAAGCCCAAGAACCAAGGAACCCAAATAGCTAGCACACCAAAAGCTTGCCAAGCCCAAGCACAACCTACTAGGTGTGCAAACGAGTTGAGTCAAGCTCGTGTCAGGGGGTGTTCGAGTCAAGCTTGACAATCAAAACCTGACGTCTCAAGACCCAAGTTCCGCCCTCGTCGTCGCGTCCGTCGTCATCCAAGCTCTACCGTCGAAATTTGTCTCCAGAACTCGTAGTATCCATCGTCGAGAATTGACGTCCCAAAATCCGACGAGTTCTGAATGAGCTATGCCGTTGAGATCCATCTTCCTGAGCTCGCAGTAGCGCCCGCCCGTCGTCCCGAGCTCGTGCTCCGTCGATCCGTGCGTGTTCTCTGATGTTTTGGATTTTTCGCTCGCGATATTTGGATTTCCCACCCGCGAGCTCCGCCATCGAGCTGCTTGTCGAGCTGACGAGTCGAGTCCGTCGTATGTTCGAGCTCGATTAGCCGTTGAGCTTGAACTCGTGTTCGAGCTTGACTCGCAGTCGAGCTTGTTACTGAGTTGAGTTCAAGCCGGCTCGCGAGTCGGCTTGACTCTATTGCACCCCTACAACCTACTCATGATCATTGGATGCTTTCCATCATAGGGTAGCATAAAAAAAAAAAAAACTATAACATTCAAATTACAATAAAAAAAATTAAAATAAACTGAAATTTGCCTGCATCAAGATACAAGTATAGTTTTATTTGTTTTGTTTCAGAATTTCAAAAATTAATTTGAAAATTTAACTTGATGTCGGGTTGAGCTGGTGGTTTTTGTAGCCACATATTTTTCTTTAATCTCTTGATTTCCAGCTTGGTGCAAATATTATGCATTTTAATATTCTGTGTTGCTAAGCATCCAGAGTGATTTCCACTACCTATGGACACTGGTAAGTACTGGAATGACATGAAATGGAACACATGGTAGGTTCATAGTTTATCAACACCAGCATCATTAACTTGTGTTGAGTATTACGTATTTACAATTTTGGAAATGCCCTTGGTGTCACCGTAGAAGATATCTGGTGGAATTTGTTTTCTTGCTACACCTAAATAATATACCTTTATGATAAAAGTTTATTAACCTTTAGTTTAATGGTTGGTTGAGCAGGTATTTTTATATATGCACTACTTTATTGGTTTTCACCAATGTTTTTTTTTTTTGGTCCAGTTTGTTTGCAATTTATGTTCAACTTAAAGAACACAAATCTTTTGACATAACCAGATTTTACCTATACATTTGTTTGTTAAAGGTGCATATCTGTGCACAATGCTGAGCACTAATACAAAGTGGAATGCCGCATCATTTGCTAGTGGCCTATGTGCATTTGCATCATTAATGACATGTTTTCTCTTTAAGCACTTGCAGCTTTTTAGAGTTACCCTTGGTGTCACCGTGAGTATATTTCATGAAATGTGGTTTACAATCCGGAACGCTAATTCCATCTAAATTGAGTTTTGTTAATTTTACTAGTTTGATCATGCAAGCTCTAGAAGATAATTTTTTTTGTGATTGGTTCTGTGGATTATTTAGCTTTGGATCAAACATTTTGAAACCTGAGTTGGTTCTGCTTAATGTGAGGTCTTCTTGTTTACAACCTTGAGATAATTCCAAGCTCTTGTGCATGCATGGGAAGCATTTGTGTCAATATTATCTTGTCTGCTGTTATAATTTTATTTGCCGAGTTTATGCATGTATAGAGTTAGGAAGAATATTGAAGTTTATTTTTTCCTTGTTTTACATTTTTGGCTTGTGTTGCATGCAGAATGTCAAAACCTTTAAAGATGTGAAGGGCTGTGATGATGCTAAGCAAGAGCTTGAAGAAGTGGTTGAATACCTTAAAAATCCAGCAAAGTTCACCCGCCTTGGAGGGAAGTTACCAAAGGTTTGCGAAGTCCTCGGATGTTAACCTAATAAAATAACTTTCACTTGAAGTTTCTTAACACGGTTTTTTATTCTCCTAAGTCCCGATATCTGTGCTGGCATACCAATGCTTAACTGTGACCACTGACAAAATTTTAGGAGAAGTTTATGGTGGATTGATTCGCCTTAAGACTAATTTCAATTAGACTTGCTTGGGACAGTGATATGCTTCTTGATGATTCAAGAAGGTTGAGACTTCTTTTAAGTATGTGTAGACTCCTTAGAGAAGAAGAAATGAGAAAGGGAAGAAGCAGGATTTTGATTTCCTGAAACAAAATTACAGCAATTTGGAGCTATTTATAGGTTTGCAAACCGGTTTGAGGGTTTAATTGGGACTGGCTGCTATCTAAAGAAATGAAAATAAACCAAACTAAAAAGAGGTTTAAGTGGGTTTGGCTGGGTTCAGTTTTTTTCTAAATTGTGGATTGTTGCTTTCCTCGACTGGGAATGGCCTGTTGGGTTCGATTGGACTGGCTTGCCTGGATCGTGGTTGGCGGCTGTTATATGGCAATGAAATCTGCAGCTAGTATTGTAATTATTTTCTTCCTTCCTCTTCGGTGATAAACTATAACATTTGTATTGTTATCTTTATCTTGCTCTTTAGAGTTCTTAATCCATTCTTCACCTTGTTATTGTATTATGGTTGAATCCAAGGGGGGGATATATTGTTGCTTAGCACTCTCTTCCCCATTAAAACTAACTTTGTCTTCGAGGTGTAGAGATGGAAAAGAAGTAGAGAGTGCTTAGAAATTCTCCTAAGCGGCTTCATTTGGAGCAGCTAATGTCCATTGTAACAATACTTGTCTGTGAGGTTGTCCAAGAAGTTGGATAATGGTGGAGGCTAGAATTGCACGAAGTGGGCTTAGTGGTTGGTTATTATGACTGAAAACTAGTAGAGGTGTAATTTTAACTGGCTAGTCACCGTAAAAAGGTTTGAGAACTGAAATATGGAAAACATGATGAATCTTCTTTTTAGGAGGGTAAGTTCGTATGCTACATAACTAATAATAGATTGGACTAGAAAAGTATCAAAATAATGGTTTGTCAATTTAGAATTTGTACGGTTAACAATAAAATTTTGATGAAATGTTGTAATTTAGCCATATAACCCAATCACTTGCTGATAATTGTAAGTCTCGATGATGATGGCCTGCCATGGTTTTCAGTCGGTGTTGTGCATGTATTTTTGCTAAGAGTTTGTAAGAGGGTGTCACGAGAAGTATCGAGGGCGCCTCTAAAGTATCATGGAGATTGAACAAAGTTTAAGGGTAATTACTCAGGTATTAAGAAGTAACTTTTGTGCTTTATATCGTAGATTAGGGATTGAGCCTATTTTTATTTAGGGCAGCAAAAAAAGAGGATTAAAAGAGAAAAAGAAAACATCTTTATGGGGGTTTTAGTTGCTTTAATAAAAATATATGATCTAATTCCATGAGTATTGATTTGATAGCATTTTGGAGGAAATATATATGGAGGACATAATGAATTTTATTTTTTATATTTACGTCTAGTACTGAAATATTCAATGTAACTAAGACATTCAATGAAAGGTTGTTACTTGCTTCTTGTGGTTGTTTGGACTGATATTGTGGGATTGAATGTGCTGCTATTACAGCCTTTGGTGCTTGCTTTATAATTCAATTTATGTTGGAAAGTAAATAATTGCAACTAAAAGCTTCCTGTCTTCTTTTGTTTGGTATTTGAAACTAGATTTAACTAGATGTTAAAAAAGACAGGTCTGTGCTATGATATTTATGCCACTGCACTCCCTTTCTTATTTGTTTTTTTTTATGTGTCGTGTGGTTATCTCTCCTTCGTTTTGCATACATCAATGAATGAACTTTGCTTCCAATGTGTAAGCCTTAATAGTGTTTGCTTACAGGGAATTCTTCTAACTGGTGCGCCTGGTACTGGGAAGACTTTGCTTGCCAAGGTAAGCTAAGTTAGGAGATGCTTAGGTGGTTCTACGTTCATCCGATATTTCTCGTTAACTTTTTTATTGCATAGTATAATGTGTCTTGCAGTGGGATCATGATAATTTACTCTAATGTTTCTAGGTTTGATAATGTTAGTTTTCTAGATGTTTATATCTGTGGATGTGCATGTAGGACATGGAGTTTCTTTTGACAGTTGGATAGTTTGATATTCTTTTCTAACTTATGGCATTTGGATCACTCATGTCAGGGAGAATGCAAAAAGTTTGGAATTGTCTAAGTTAATCCTTATTTTCTAAATTGCATTTGCTAGCCTTATTTTCACTTTTGCTGAAGTCACTAATAAGAATGTACATACCAAAGCTTCTATTGTTTACCAGTTATCCGATGCAATTTTTTTTATCTTTATCCATTTAAGGTAATAATGGATTTATTGAGTTACGTTTCTTTTCTGTTTTTTTTAATTGACAGTAGTTTACAGTGTTATATTAGCATTGAAAACCTTTCTGGATCAGGCTATTGCAGGAGAGGCTGGGGTACCATTCTTCTATCGAGCAGGATCTGAATTTGAAGAAATGTAAGTTAGCTTCAGCTATATAAAAATTTAATCGTTTATTTTCCTAAAATCTGAAATTTCGAGCTTCATGTTGCACAATCTTTCTAATACAACAAAATACAGTAACATTGTTTATATATATATATATATATATATATATATAATTAAATACCATTGTTTAGATATAAAGTAACAAAACTTGCAGAAAATATTTGATTAAAATGACAAGCAGAGCATTTCTATTTCATATTGCGGCAATTATGATCATTGATTGTTATCATAGGGTGATGTTGCACACTCTTCTGAAATATATTATCTCAGTTCTTTCTGATCACTTATGTCATGATGACTGCAACTCTAAGCATCCTCAAGTCATTTGAAGGGGTATCACAAATCAATGCAAATTTCTGTAACTAAAGAATGCTTTTGGAAAATATCTTTTTTGTTTCTTGACAACGAACTTCCTAAGTTTCAATAAAATGGAGGTTTACTTTCACAGTTGAGAGCTCTCAAACAATTCCGACATCAAATCTTATGATAACAATTCCGACATCAAATCTTATGATCATTTTGATATCAGCATGATGCGTCTTGGAAGTAAAACCAGCAAACAAAAAAGAAGGAAAGCTTAGGAACACAAAGATAATGGTTGTTTTTTGATTTCTCGTTAAAAAATAATGTAAGATACAATTGATCTACTATTCAAGAGATACAAACCCTAGACGTCGCTAGGAAACTCAAAAAGAAAACTACAACAAAAACAAATTGCAAGATACCAAAAAAACATCATAGATAGCCCTAAACATGCTCTCCTAATTCCCTCCCAAATGAGCCCCCTTTCCTTTTTTAATTCCCTCCCAAATCAACCTCCTTTCCTTAATTACTTCCTTCTTAGATTTGAATTCAAAATTGAAACTCATTCCCTAAATAATTCTCCATTGATTCCTCCTCCTTACATAATGAATCATATCTTTCCTAGGCCCCACAAGGGGGACCGAACCCCTGTCTTTCTCCTTGCCAGGTTCCGCCCAGTCCATCCCCTGTTTCGGTCCAAGTTGGGCTGGTCGGCTGGCCCCCCTGCATATCAATACTCTCACCTAAAGACGCATCTTATCCTCAAGGTGGAAGTATGAGAGCTGTCTTCTGATCATCTTGTTTGGCTCCCATGTATCTTCATGTTTCGGTAGGTCCTTCCACTTGACTAGTACCTCCAGTCCTCCTGTTTCCCCTCAATGCCCCTTATACATCCATAGGCTCCAAAATGACCTCTATGTCTTATGCCAGAGTCAGGGGTAGTGGAGATGGTGTGTGATCTCCTATCGCACGCCTCAGTTATGAAAGAGGAAATACATGATGAATGGCTGAGGTTGGTGGCAACTGTAGGCGATATGCTGATGCTCCAATGCATTCTACTATCTCATAGGGTCCAAATTAGGGGGGGGGGGATCTTCTCATTTTTTTTGTCAGGCCAAAGTCCTCTATTTGTAAGGTTGGATTTTCAGATAAATCGTATCCCCAACCTCAAACTATATGTCTCTCCTGTGTCAATTTGCTTACTTCTTCATGATTTGTTGTGACCTTCTTAAATGTTCCTTCGATTTTACCAAAATCATGTCCCTTTCTTCCATGTACTACTCCATCGATTCACTGTTGTATTGCCATGTCCATAATATCAGATGAGGTGGATCCCTCCCATATAGATTTTTAAATGGCGTTGCCTGGGCTGCTGTATGATATGAATTGTTATACTTATATTCTGTCCATGTCAACCACGTGGCCCACATCTTTGGTGTATCTGATACAAAGCAACGAAGATAAGTTTTCACACTACGATTCACCGCCTCTGTCTGACCATCCATTTGAGGGTGGTTAGCTGTACTCCACTTTATAGAATAACTCCCAAAAATGACTCAGAAAAACCCTGTCCCGATCAGACACAATGACCTTGGGTATGGTATGCAAATGGACCACCTCTCTAATGAATGCAGCTGCCACTGATACCATTGTGCATGGGTGCCGTAAGGGAACAAAATGAGCATATTTGCTCAATCTGTCCACTACCACTAGAATTACAGTGAACCCTTCTGATCTAGGTAGTCCCTCATTGAAGTCCATAATCATCTCTTTCCATTCCTTTTCGGGTAATGCTAAATGCTGTAGAAGACCACCTGGAGCTATTGCCAGGTATTTTTTGTCTCTGACATACATTACAATTGGCCACCAACTCCTCTACATTCCTCCACATGCCCACCCGATTAAGCTCCCCTGCTAGTCTATGATATATCTTATGGACTCCTTAATGTCCCCTAATAGCTGTGCTATGATACTCTTGCAACAAGTGATGGATGTGTTGTGATATCCTCGAAAGCATAAACGTCACTGATATAGCAACTTTTAACCCATCAAAGAGTAACCGAGGTGACTGTCTTTGTCCTACAACAAGTCTCATCTGATCTAACTCATCTCTTAATCCTGCTCATCTCACTCTTCAATACCTCCCTATCTACCACCTTGGGATCAGATAGAGCCATAACCTGAGGGTTTTCACTATACCTGGAAAGTGCATCAGCAGCTTTATTTTTCAGTCCAAGCCTATACTGTATCTCAAAGTCTTAACCCAACAACTTGGAAAACCACTGCTTATACTCCTCTATCACCATCTTTTATTCTAACAGGAAATTCAAACTCATATGGTCGGTTTTGACTATGAAGTGTCGCCCTAACAGGTAAGGTCTCCACTTTTGTACTACCAACACTATTGCCATCGGCTCCCTTTCGTGCATCAATTTCAGCTTGGCCCTAGCGATTAACACCTGACTGAAATAAGCTATGTGCCTCTGACTCTGGATGAGGACTTCCCTCAACCCATAGCCTGATTCATTAGTCTCCACTACAAACTGCTGGTTGAAATCTGGTAGTACTAACATAGGGACATTCGTATTGACTTTCTTCAGTTGCCTAAACGCCTGGGTGGCTGCCTCCCCCAAATTGAAATTATCCTTCTTCAATTGCTCTATCAATGGCTATGCTATAGAGCTGTATCCCCCCACAAACTTCTTGTAGTATATTGTGAGTCTCAAGACCCCCTTCAACTCCTTCAAGGCCTTAGGTAAGAGCCATTCCAACATAGCCTTTATTTTAGAAAGCTCTGCATATACTCCTGATTTGGACACCATATTTCCCCCCAAATACTCCATCCCCTACTGTGCGAAGGAACACTTATTCAAATTTTCATACAACTGAAGTTCCTTTAATGTTGCTAACACTACTCTCAAGTGCTCTGCCTCTAACTAGCTATACACCAAGATGTCATCGAACAAATCAATGCAAACTTGCGGATATAGGGCTGGAATACATTGTTCATCAGCAACTGGAAAGTAGTTGGGGCATTGGTTAGCCCAAAAGGCATCACTAAGAATTCATAGTGGCCTTCATGAGTCCTTAAAGTCGTCTTGTGGATGTCCGCGGGCTGCATTTTGATCTGATGGTATCCTGATTTCAGATCAATATTGGAGAATATCACCGCTCCATATAACTCTTCTAGTAACTCATCAATGATTGGTATAGGAAACCTATTTAACACTATTTTCTTATTCAGAGCTCGGTAGTCTACACAATCTCCAACTACTATCCTTCATCAAAAACAACACAGGGCTGGAGAAAAGGTTGGAACTAAGATGAATGATCTTGGCCTCCAACATCTCCTTGATTAGCTTCTCATTGTCTTCCTTCTAAATCTGTGGGTACCGGTATGGTTGTACACTGATAGTGGATACCCTTTTTTCAGGTTTATGACATGCTCATGTTCCCTTGGGGTGGTAGGCCTTGAGGCAGTTAGAACACCTCACTGAATTGTTGCAGGAGTAGCTGGACTATTTCTTGAACCTCCTTTTTCTCCATGCCTTCCTCTCTCTCGAGGCACTGGAGCTCCACCAAGAATCCCATCACTGCTCCTTGGATTGCCCTCACGAAGGTCTTAAGAGAAACCCTAGTTTTGGACAGACTAGGATCTTCCTTATCCTCACCTCCCTCCCTCCATGAATTCCATGGTCAATGCCTTCTCCAAGTCAAGACAAAAAATTGCTTGTATTGTTCTCCTTCTCGAATAGCTCGGAAACGTTCCAACAAGCAATGCTTAAGCTCCTCGCACAAATGGATCAAATGTGTACTCTCCCACCATTAGAACCAAGCGTTGGCTTTCCCCTCCAAACATAGCCCTGTGATTGTAAGTTTCTCATCCTCTCTCAATTCGTTCACTGCGAAATACCTCTCTACCCTGTATGCCCATCCATGGGTATCTTCTTGTTTGAATATTGATATTTCCAGCTTCCTCACCCTAACATTTTTGCCCCAACTTTCTATTTTGCCGTTGGTTCCCCTCGTGTATTGAGGGTGGGAATCCCACCTTTCTTTCATCCGCCTCTCATGACTCGATGAATCAATCTGTCCCCCTCCTTCGTTCGTTCACTTCCTTTGCCCAAAAGGCCTCCCTAGTGGTCGGCCACTCCACCAGCTCCACCATAAAACTCCCTTATTGATATCCCCCTGTTCGAATAATCTGTCCCTTATCGGAGCCCTAGGAGGTGGTTATTTATGAAAGAAACTCTACTTATCGAACTCTTTCCATCTAATCTCTTTTCCCTTAGATTCAACCAAGGGAATCTGGGTCGATTCTAGGTTAGGGTTAGTGATTGGAACCATAGGTGTAGATTGCATCTCCATGAGCTTCCTTATCATCTCCTCCACCCCTCCAATTCAATTTTTCATGGATGAAAACCTTCCTTTCATGTTTGAAAACCTTTCTTCGATGGTTGAGAACTTCTCCACCCCGGATTTGATTTGGTCCACTTCGCCTTCCAATGCACCACTTTCTTTGCTGTCATCCCTCCAAAACCTCACAATGATACTAATGTGATGCATCTTTGAAGTAAAAACAACAAACAAAAGAGAAGAAAAGTGTAGGAACACAAAGATAATGGTTGTTATCAAATTTCTCCTTAAAAATAATACAAGATACAATTGATCTATTATTCGAGAGGTAGATTGACTCTCCCACAAACCTAAACTCCCTAGGAAATTCACAAAGAAAATTACAGCATAAAATAAATTGCAAGATACCAAAATAACAACATAGATAGCCCTAAATAGGCTTTCCTAATTCCCTCCTAAATCAGCCTCCTTTCTTTGATTAATTTCCTTTCAAATTTAAATTCAAAATTGGAACTCTTTCCATGAATAATTCCCCTTTGATTCCTCCTTACATAATAGATCATATCTTTCATGTGATCCACAATGGGTGCCAAACCCCCTTCTTTCTCCCTGCCAGGTTCCACCCAATCCAGCCCCTATTTCGATCCAAGCTGTGCCGGCCGGCTGGCTCCCTGCGTATCACAATGGTGATGCTATCAATGTTTTAAGCTTTTGTTTGTGAGATTCTTATTATATATTTAATTTGATCTTTTTTTTCCTGCCACCCGTTTATGTTTTCTTTTTGCGCTAGGTTTGTTGGTGTTGGTGCTCGACGTGTGAGGTCCTTATTTCAGGCTGCTAAGAAAAAGGTGGGTCTAACTTCTTGCTTAGAATAAACAATATCTGATTTAAGGGTCCTGCATTATCACATGGTCATTTGATATTTCTGTTTTTGTTGCAAGTATATGTTGCTTTTGAAATTGTTTTAATTGTCATTTTGAATTAAATAATAATTCTTAGTATATTATCATGTTGTTGGACTCTTTGGGAGATGATTTAGCATGCTCTCAAATGCTATAGCTTTAATAATCTCAAATATTTTTCTTTTTGAATTTGGGTAATTTCTTATGAAATTAAAATAAAGTTCTCCCTTATTGAATATTTTGTATTATGTGGCATGCACATCTCCTTGATGTTATTGTTTGCATTTAGATCATAGTCATGAAAGCGTTAATTCATAGCTTATGCATGCATACTTTTATAAGGTGTTCTTGAAAGTTTTAGCATTAAAATAGTTTGTGAGGATTTATACGCAGGCTTAAACTAGCAATTTTTCATTTATAAATACATTTTATGTAGGAGGATCATAAAACCTCGTTCCATTTTTTGTTTTCTTCATTTTTATTTTTTTTTCTAATCTTTATTGTTGGCATAATGAATCATAATCAGTATCCTAATTATCTCTTTCTCTACTCAGTGAATTTCCTTCCCCATGCCTCCTTCCTACAAAATCTATTACTTCAATGACAACTATTGAAACTCTTCCAACACGCACCTTCGGCAACTTGTTTAGTTTAGAAAAAAATTGATTTTCATGGGCCAATTAAAAGAGTTGAACTGGACCAATTTTTGAACCTTTGTTGGCCCTTTTCTATTTATTATCAAATTTATTTTATTTTTAGTATGATTTTTTTATTTGCTTCATTTATCATATTTTGGGTAATTATATGTTTGAATTTGATTTTTGGATAGAGTTGGATAATTACATTTGAATTATTTGGTATTATCCTTGCAACCTTATTTCTATAAGGGTTGATAGGGTTGATGCTTGTATTTTTTCACAGGAGATTGTTTAATAAATGGAATTTATTTTGTAAGTCAATCAACTGCTCTTTACAAACTGTATAAGTGAATTGCTCTAAATTGTGTGCAAAGTTCCTCTCTCCAATACCATCACCTTGGGCCATGGAACTTCTCATAATCCACTATCTCTAATCATAGATGTTCTCAATAATATATACATAAACATATTTATGGGATTTCTTTTTTTCTTATTTTATTGACATTAAAGGTTGACTGTGGGCATAGAAGCAATGGATTGGCCACCTTCTTTTTGACTTGAAGTTCATGGCTTTGGATTTGGGATGCAATGTCTTTGCAATGAAATGGGTAAGATTGGTTGTTTCCCTAGGTCGGAGTAATTGCCTTCAAGAAAGGGAACCTACCTAATATTGACAAAAAAATCATAAATAATACCTAAGTGGGACTCATCAACGGGAGCGACCGCTAAAAGAATCAGGGCCAGGTATTGTAGTAATGGAATGGGCCATCAGGGTGTGAACAAGAACATCTAAAGCTCCACTATGTCCTGATGTCTCGCCAGAAACAGGAAAGGAACCCGAGGGAAAGGAAAAATCCAAAGCTGATGTCTCAATAGCTGAAGTAATATGGGTGTCAATTTTTGACACGACTTGAACCCGACCCGGAAAAATCCGGGTTCGGGTCAACCTGGACCCGAAACGGGTCGGGTTCGGGTTCAACAAATCAACCCGTTTTAAAAATCTGGTCGGGTTCGGGTTTACCCAGCAACCTGAAAATGACCCGAAATTGACACGAAAACTCCTATTTGACTCGGAAACCCGAGATTGACCCGCTTTTGACCCAATTTTGACCCGAAAATCGAAGATTGACCCTATTTTGACCCGAAACTAGCAGTTTTAGGTCAACTTCGGGTCATTCGTGTCGGGTCGGGTTGACCCGGACCCGAATCGGGTTGGGTTCGGGTCCGGAAACCTGACTCGTTTTTAAAAACGGGTCGGGTTCGGGTTGACCTGAACAGTGCCGGGTCAGTTTCGGGTTCGACCCGAACCCGACCCGTTGACCCGAATTGACACCCCTATGAAGTAACAACATCTGTCATAAGAACATCAGAAGGACCTACTAACTGGATATTTACTTTTGTTAGTTAAAAATGCCAAAAGCTGTACAGAGTATTTAAACTGTAAACATAATGGTTGGTGTCTTGGTGAGAGTTTCATGCATAGGGAATCCTAACCTTCCTCCATATGGTAATTCTAGCCCAAAGAAAATGGAGCTTCAAGATTTGCTATCATGTTGCATTAGTCTTTTGGTATCTTTTCTTGCTAAGAGATTGTTGCTGTGGTTATCTAAAACGTTGTGAAGAGACTGACCTCAGTTTCCAGTGTGGAGGCTTATGAGTAAATTTTTTTTGTGAATTTTATCATGTAGCTCTGAAGGTGTTAACCCTTTCGAAGAAAGTTGAAGAAAGGCAACAATTTACTAATGCTTTTATGATTTAGAAGGGTTGAAGGTTCATTCATCTTAAATAACTGTTAAAAAATGAGGGTTCCTCTGGGGTCACTACGTGCATGTGAAATTAACAATATCATTGTTGTAGGATAAATAAAGTTTTTGAAAGTTGATGCTGATATTATAATTTTTTTCCTTTTGAAAAGGTTGGACAATATTTTTCTTACAAAAACATTCTAGTATATCTGGTTATTAGATGTTTTCATCATAATTTTTTTTGAAAAGCAGCAAAAAATTTGCAGCCAAACTATATAAATTAAAGTTGTGAAAACGTTTTCTCAAACTAACCCTAAGATTACTACTCTAACTCCATTGGATGAGAAATGGTAACTCTGCAGTCTAAATTCTGCGGTCTAAATTATGTAAAATAGACTAGGCAAAGCTTTTTTTTTTTAAAGTTAGCTGCTATAACTGTTCTAAATGTCGTACTCCCGAACATTCTGTCTCCTTGTTTTGAGAAAGGAACGGTGTCCATGATCCGGCCTTGGAATTGAAAAATATGGGTTTCTTCTGATTTTGTTCATCTATTTGATTGTGTGCTTGGCTTTTGTGGCTTGTCATCTTACTTATGAAATCCTTTTCAGGCTTTGATACTTTATTGAATTTCTGACAAATCTCTGTTTTTTTCCTCCTTTTCCGTGCTATTCATAGGCACCTTGTATCATTTTCATTGATGAAATTGACGCTGTTGGATCTACTAGAAAACAATGGGAAGGACATACTAAGAAGACTTTGCATCAGCTGCTTGTTGAAATGGATGGGTTTGAGCAAAATGATGTGTGTTATAATTAAGCCCTTGATTTTTGTAATTGTTTTTGTTAGCCATCTCACTTGAGCATTTTTACTTAGGGCATAATATTGATGGCTGCAACAAATTTGCCAGAAATTCTTGATCCAGCTTTGACAAGACCTGGTAGATTCGATAGGCATGTAAGTCCTTTTAAACATTATATTCAACTCATCCAGAGGAAGGCAATGAGCGAATATTTTGACTTTAAACTTTATTAGCTTGGTTATGGCATGTTTTTCAATCAATTTGTCTGTACATTGGTGGTTCTTGCATGTATAGCTCAGGCGGACCTACTAATTAGTCCACTTTTATAGATTTTCTAAGTTTGAAATACCACAAAACCCTCCACTATGCGTAATTGATCTTTGTCACTAAAAGGGAGGTGTTCTCTAGATTGTTGTCCCTAGTCCTGATGTGCGGGGTAGGCAAGAGATTTTGGAGCTGTATTTGCATGAAAAACCATTGGCTGATGATGTGGACGTCAAAGCTATCGCACGTGGTACTCCTGGCTTCAATGGTGCAGGTTTGCTCGCTACTATTTCCTTTGACTATTTGTTTTCAAGCGCTCTTCAAACTAATCAGCTTGAAACATAGTTTCCTTATCAGTAGAGAATTAGTATTAAGCTAATGTCCTTTTATTTTTCATTTATTTATAGATCTAGCAAACCTTGTCAATATTGCTGCCATTAAGGCAGCTGTAGAAGGTGCTGACAAGCTAACTTCTGCACAGTTGGAATTTGCAAAAGATAGGATAATTATGGGCACTGAGCGTAAAACGATGTATTTATCCGAGGACTCCAAGAAGGTAATTATATTGTATGTTGTTTTATTTTTCTCCTAATCTTTTCTATCCTAAAATTCTTTCTTATGTTAAGAAAGGTAGAGGTAGACCTAAAAAGACTTGGTTAGAAAATATTAGGAATGATCTTTCTTTATTAGATTTAAATAAGAATAACTTTTAATAGGACACAATAGAGAAAAAGGATTCATGTAACTGACCCCACGTAGTGGGATAAAGGCTTGATGTTGTTGTTGTATAACATATTTTTTCATTGCACATTAAGATGATTGGGAGTTGCATTTGTTTTCTTAGCTCACTGCATACCATGAGAGTGGACATGCCATTGTGGCCTTCAATACTGAGGGTGCACATCCTATTCACAAAGCAACCATCGTTCCTCGAGGGTCTGCCTTAGGTATGGTCACGCAGCTTCCTTCGCAAGATGAAACTTCCATAAGCAAAAAACAGTTGTTAGCTCGTCTTGATGTATGTATGGGTGGGAGAGTGGCTGAGGAGCTTATATTTGGTGAAGATTATGTAACAACTGGTGCGAGCAATGACCTACATACAGCCACTGAACTTGCTCAATATATGGTAAAGCTTTTTCACATCTTAGGCTGCTTTTGGGATGGCTTTTTTACTGCTTCTTGAAGCAGCTTTTTAGCATAAAAATTAAAAAATTTTATGCTAAAAAGCTGCTTCAAAAAGCAGTAAAAAAACCGTCCCAAACGAAGCCTTAATCATAAAGCTGTCTTCAGTGTCAGTTTTATCCAACAGTTCTACACTACATTTTAGGTTTCATCATGTGGAATGAGTGATGCAATTGGCCCAGTGCATATTAAAGAGCGGCCAGGATCAGAGATGCAGTCACGAATTGATGCAGAAGTATGTCCTATTAACTAAATCTGTAATTTTGATAGTTCTAATGTCTGACATTTTTATTACAAAATTCAGGTGGTGAAGCTCCTGAGAGAAGCTTATGATCGAGTCAAGCGGCTACTAAAGAAGGTATTTCTATAGGATCATTGTTCTAACAATTCTTCTACACACTTTTCTTTTCATAGTTGATATTACTTTGTTGAATATTTTACAATTTTGAATTTCTCTATTCTTGTTTAGAATCTCATAGGCTTGTGCGGTAGTTGATTCATGAAAACTATTATGCTTGGGTTTTATGCGAGTAACATAATGATTAACTTTATACTGACTGGCCAATTCTTCCATCCTAGTTTTGACTGGCCAATTATTCTATACCCTAAACCTCAATTCTTTTAAACCCTTGGACCCGATTGAACCCCCACCCCTTATGCTATTTTATCCAATTTGACCAAATTAGATCAATCTAACTCTTGCATTGGATTCCAAATTATTAATTAAATTCAAGCCTAATTGGCCAATGATTCAACCCAATTACACCAATTGGTCTATTTCAACCCAAGTTGGCGCAATTTAAGATTTAGGCCATTTATCTCGACATTGATCAATTTAATTCAAATAAGTTAATTATATCTCATTTGAATTTCTTTGACATTTGATTGAGCCTATTGAGCCAAATTGGTCCAGCTTAGCCCACATGACTCAATATTGACTCATTGAGTCTATACCTTCAATTCAACCATGGATTGACCCAAGTATTATAATTGATCAAATTGAGATTGCCATTGGGTTCAATTAATTTGAGCTGAATAGTAGCTTAAACTCAATTCCAGGCCTTAATAAAAAGCGTAAGATTAATTATGTTGTGGTTGTGGCTTAATCCAAGTAATTGAATAAAGCCAAGCAGAGAATACTGCCACCTGCTACTTTGCAGATCAAACTCATCCTCACCATCCACTTAACAGCCACTTGGATCAATCTTGTAGCTCTCACAACCATTAATAATGTTTTAATCGATTTAATGGTGATTAAGAGGAACTGTGCTGGAATTTCAGTTTATCAATGCCATTGGTATTAAAAGCTGCAAGCAATACTTTCTTCCCCATCCAAAGCAGACTGGTTGAGTGTTCAGACCAGGAAGCTCAAATTTGCAAATCGAGCTTGGCCCTTCGAGCAATTGAAGCCATCTTGAGCAAATCTGGCTTACAGATTCTTCGTCAAGCTTCAATCGAGCTTTTGAGTGCAGCAATTCATCTGAAATCAAGTCAAGTATGTTAAATTTGAAGCTTTAAGCTTTCTATCACGTCGTGGTTCTGAGAGGTTTATGGTTCACTGCCTTCAAATTAATTATCACCATCTTGTGGCTCTTGAAAAATTGATTGATTTTGGTTTTTAAAGTTAGTTATAGCTCTTTAAATCTTAATGGGTTTACAAGTGAAAATGTATAACGGACTCCTGAATCTAGAGGTGTATTGGTTGAGAACCTTTACTAAAACATGAGCATAATGTATGAGTATCATGTTCCCTCTGCTCTTGGTCCTAATCTCTTGGATCGAGTGTGCGCTCTTGGTTAGTCTGGATCAAAACATTCTAGATCTAGAAGTGTATTAGTTGGGAACCCTTGTACCTTATCTCACCTAGAAAAAATCTTTACTAGAATGCCCTATATTAAACAATAAGGTCAATGACTCAATGTATGATGAATTAGTGGGTTAACATCATAATTTTTTATGACATATAATGTCTATATATATAACCTTTTTAAAAATCAAAACAGTGAGACTTATAAAATTGTCAAAACTAGTGATATTGACATTTAAGCGATGAGAGAGAAGTCAAAGCTGAGTATACAAATCTTGGCCTAAATACCCAATGACATATATTGATTCCTTTCAAATTTAACTTTTAAATTATCTATGTTGAATTTTGTAGAGTTCTAACTTGCTTATGCTATTTTGTTTTTAAAAACAATGAGTGATCCCAATTAAGAATATACAACAACAACAAGTCTATTCCACTACGTTAATCAGCTACATGAATCCTTTTTCTTCATTTTGTCATATTAATAGTTAAATTCTCATTTAAATCTAATAAAAATGTGATTTCTAATATTTTCTGACCAAGAATTTTTAGATGTACCTCTATCTTTCTTAACATAGATCAAATCTAACACATACTCTCCTAATCAAATTATCAGAAGGCTGACGTTTCATGTGACCAAATCATCTAAGACAACTCTCTAATTTTATCTGCCACTGGAGCTACTTTAATCATTTCATGCATATACTCATTTTACATTTTTTCTATAAGAGTGAAACCAATCATCCACCTAAGCATTCTCATCTTTGTAACACAATTTTATGCTTCTTTTTTAATGGCCTACATTCTGTGCTATATAAGATTGCAGGTCTCACCATCTTATAGAATTTTTCCTTTTAAGTTTGAGGGTTATTTTTCTATCACACAACATGCCTGATGCATTCCTCCACTTCAACCATCCAACTTGAATTCTACTAATAATATACCCATCTATTTCACCATTACTTTGAACAATAAAATGAGATATCTGAAACATGTACTCTTATTAATGTCTTGATCGCCCAAAGTCACAATCCTCCCACTAGATCTATTACTACTAAAATTACACGCTATGTATTCGATTTTTAGATCTACTCAAACAAAAACCACCACTAGACTCTAAGGTTAACCTCCATAATTTAAGTTTACCTTCAACTCCCTCTCTAGTCTTATCAACATGAAGAATATAACCAGCAAAATGCATACACTAGGGTACTTCCTCTTGCAAATGTCTAGTAGCAACATCTATGACAAACAAAAAAGATATGAGCTTAAAGTTTATCCTTGATGTAATCCAATTGAAATAGGAAAATACTTGGTCAAACTGCCATGTGTTTGAATACAAGTAATAGCTTTTGTATATATATATATCCTTAATGACTTGAATATAAGCATTTTAACCCTTTCTTTTCTAAAACTCTCCAAAGCACTTTTCATGGAACTTTATCATAAGCTTTCTTTAAATCAATAAATATCATATGTAGATCCTCCTTATTTTCTATATACTTCTCCATTAAACCTCTCAATAAATGTATAGCTTTCATAATAGATCTACCTGGTATGAATCCAAATTGATTTTGAGAAAAATTAGTATCACATCATAGCCTATGCTTAATAATTCTCTCATAGTTTTAAAGTATGACGCAATAACTTAATTCTTATATAATTCGCACTCTTGTGCATCACATTTATTTTTAAAAATAGGAATCAAAAGACTCATTCTCCGCTAATCTGGCATCTTTTCTCTTCAAAATAGTATTGATAAGTTTCACGAGCCAAGAAATTTTGTTAATCTCTTAAGTACTTTCATATCTGTATTGGAATATCATTAGGTCCAACAGCTTTTTCGCATTTTAGTTTCCTTAAAGTCTCTCTAACTTCAATTTTACTAAGACTGATAAAAATAAAATTTTTTATTTTCATTTAGGGTGATAAGTTTACTAAAGTTAATTGTATTCTCGCTATCTCTATTGAAAAGCTTATAAAAATATCTCAACCACATTTGTTGAATATTATCTTCTAATAAACTCACTTTTTGATCTTCATCCATAATGCAAGTTCACTTAAACTAAATCATTACTTCTATTATTTCTTTGCTTGACTAACTTACACATATATTTTTTCATCCTCTTTAGTAGCTAATCTATTATATAAATGAGTAATAGTTAATTTTTTTGCATCACATATTATTGTTAGACTTATTACGGGCATCATTATATTTTTTTTCAATTTATTAAGCTTTTACACCTAAATCAATTTTTATAAAAATCTTCTTATTTTAATCTTTTTTTGCACATTTTAATTCCACCCCAACTTTTCTTATTATTAAGAGCTTTTATTTTTGATATTCCAAGCACATTTTTTATAAAATTCTTAATATCATTAATTATTTTTTTCCACATAACATTAGTTTCTTCATGCACAGTCAAAATTTTAGGATCTTGAATATTACTTTAAAATAATTTTTAAATACCTCATACTAATCTTAGATTAACATTTTACTTTATTTTTCGTATTCTGGCCATTCGTCTTAAAGTCTAAAACTCATAAGCGATGCTAGATATATAAATTTTCATTCGGAATAACTTTACAATCTAAACGATCTATTTTCTTTTAAGAAAATAATCAATTTGAATTTTATTATATCCATTCTTATAAGTGATAAGATGTTCATCTATTTTATTAAATAAAGTATTAGCAATTATAAAATTACAAACTAGAGCAAAATCTAATATGATCCTATCACTTTCATTTGTACCTTCAAAACCATAACCACAATGATTACTTTTAAAATCTTTTATCTTTCTACCAACATTTTCATTTAAATCTTCTTCAATAAAAACTTTTTCTTCAAGAGATATATTTTGTATTAATTTTTCTAAGTTATTCCAAAATTTAATTTGAACACATATTCAAAGCTATTTGAGGATCATAGACACTTATAATGTTAATAATATTATCATCATTAGTAATCTTTAAAGTTATAATTCTATCTTCAATTCTAATAATTTTTATAACATTATTCTTGAAGCTATTATTTATAGTTACTTCTACACCATTTTTAATACGACTCCTATGCGAATACTATAGTTTAAATCCTAAACAATCAATCTCCTTATCCTTCTATCCAACCGATTTAGTTTTTTTAATATATAAAATATTTATCTTCCAATGAATCATAATATTTATTAATTCCATTAATTTGTATGTATGAAAACTTATATTCCAAGTTTATATCTTAATTCTAGTTTTATTGACTAACTTCTTTGCCCACATTCGTCCGTGATGTGGTAATCCTTGCTTATTTAACACTATACCAGGGGGTCGATGTAGCAGCCCTTGCACATTTCTCGTTGTATTCAGGTCGTACAGTGTGTCTCTTCCAGGGAAAGCTCTGGCATTAACACAATGTATTAAATGATTCATGTCATGATTTTTAAGAAGTTTTACTAGGGCTGTCGACTATCTTTTGTAACCCTCTATTTTTCTCATCAAAGATTTGGGATCTGACAACAACAGTGTTCCAATTAAGAATATAAATAAAAATAAAATAAATTAAAAAAGGAAAATAAAGTGATCCGAATATGTCACTTAGTGGGTGAAATAATAATCATTTCACTTTGGAATATGGCAGTAACTAACTTCTTATTAGCATCTGGCGAGAAGCTGCAGGTTGTGGCAATCAACGCCATCTCACAGATCATGCTTCTCGTTCAGTTTTATTAATTTTTGCTACAGTAAAGAGTGAGATCATTGTAATTTTAAAACTTGTGCAAAAGAATCCAGCTGTTTTTCCCACGTTCCTAAAACCACTACAAAAACTGCTGTTCATTAACCGTGTTTCAATTTTCTTTAGGGGACAGGCTTCTTGATTCACTTGATCTAGAGCTATCATATTTACATTGAGATTGACTCCCAACTATTTTTGAAAATTGAATTTCACATTTTGCACAATTACAATGAATAGCAATTAATTTGATTTAAGAACTCCAAAGTTTTGATAGTTCTTATGATTCTGGATTAAATTTCACATAATCAATAATTTGAATAATAAACATGTGAATTAGTAGATTTAAGTTGTGACTGCCGTTTGAAAACACTTCTCATTTAAATGCTATGTAAATCATATTAGAGATCATATGCGAAGCCAATTGAGGTCAATCCCTGACATATAATGGTCAAGGTTAAGATTGGATTGATTTATACATGTTCTTTGGCCTCACATGCCATTATTCATATCACAATTGCTTCTTTAACCATGCATCTCATATAAATTAGACCATCTCCAACCAAACTGCATACCACCGTATACCATCCGCCATTTGCTGCATTCGAACTTCAAATCTCACGTCAAAATTCAGTAGGTGAACAATGTGACGTCAATATTGGCGTCGAACTGTTCACCTACGCAAAAAAATTGTTGCTGAAGACAGGCGCGAAAGAGGAGGAAAACGTGTGAAAGAGGAGAGAGATTGTTACCTTCATAGGAAGCACGTGAAAGAAGAAAGAAATGCAATTCAATTGGAGATGAATTACGTCATTTTGAAATTTTACTGTATTTTAGAGTGGAAAATGGGTTTTTCGGTTGGAGATGCGCTTAATTGGTATCAAGATGGGACAAATGAGAATGTTCCAAAGTCCTTTCATTTTGTTGAATTACTCTCTTCATATCAATTTCAAAGTCTAATGTCTTAAATTTGATATAATTATATTTCAATTCAACATCAAATTTCAGTTTTTTTCATTAGTTATGTAACCATTTTACCCTCCTTGTTAGTTCTCACTTGATTTAAATTTAAAAATTCTTGTACAGCACGAAAATGCATTGCACGCCCTCGCAAATGCGCTGCTCGAGTATGAAACCCTAAATTCAGAAGACATTAGACGAGTCCTTAACCCTTACCAAGAAGGCCAACTCTTTGAGCAACAGGAGGAGCTTGCGTTGGCTTAGAAAGGGCTGCTCTAATTCTAAAATATTGTACAGTCCTGAAGCCACAGGTGACTTCCAGAATTTGCTTTGATCATTTTTCCCCATCATTATATAATTATTCAAGGCATGAGATTCATCATTATGGGCTTCAAAATACCGTTGGCTTCAAAATAGCTCTGTATGGATTCAGAATTTGAATTTGCAGAAGAAAAAGCTTGGAAAGCTGGGGGGCTACAGCAAAAGAGACGACTGTGCATAAATGAGAGCTCTACTGCTTGTGGTAAGAAGCTTGTTTGAACTAGTTTTCAGTGTCATTCAAGTAATACAAATGTTGCAACTCAGTAATTATATTGATTTTCCAATAAGTTTTTCTTCATTATCATCTACCCTTCAGACCTGGTTTATTTTATGTTTCACGACTTCATTATAGTTGAGCTTTTTTTTTTTTTTAGTCCTCATTCATTCTTCAGTTTCGATTCAAAGGCATTGGATTTGAGTTTTTGACTCAAAGGGATTATATGATTGCTTCAAATTGAAAAATATGATATAAGAATGGTTTTTTTTTTTGCTGATTTTAATTGTCAAATAAATCTTTTTTTTTTTTAAATTGTGTTTTTAGGAAGTTCATGGTCCTTGAAATTAATATGGGCTTCATTGATTTTCAACCAGGTGACATATTGGAGAAGCTTTATTAGTTTTAAATATATTTTAGAACTTTTGGTGGCTATTTTTTTGCAGCTTTCAAAAAACATTTTGGGCTAGAAAAATTATCTAGCACAAAATGATTTTAGAATGAAGAGTACTTTACATGCTTCTTGTCTTTTCATAATAGCCTAAACTCTCGTGGCACTAGGATTTATTAAATGTAGAGGTGTCAAAATTGGGTTGCAGGTCGGGTTCAGGTCAAACTTAGAATTGACCAAATGCTATTCAACATGACCCGAACCAGAACTGTTTTTGCAAACGGGTCATAAAATTCAACTCGGACTTAACCCGTTGGGTTTCTGGGTTGACCGACCTGATATGAAACCTGAAAGGGTTGAAATCCTGAACCTGAACCCAAACCCGACCTGTTTCTCAAACTGGTTAATTCTAATTTGGATTTTTTTGTCGGTTTTTTGGATCGTGTTAAATATTGATACCCCTAATTAAATGTATGAATATATATAAAAAAAGTGTGTTGATATTTTTTGATATAAATTTTATTAGGTGTGTTAAAAAAAATTAATTTGACGTGCCAACCTGATTAGAATTTGACTAGAAAAATTTAAGTTTGGGTGTACCCATTTGAAAAATGAGTTTGGTTCTTGTTTAGAATTTCAACCTGTTTGTTGACTTTGGCTTGATCTGTCAATTTGAATTTGACCTGAAATGACTCTTTTAATTTTTTTTTTCTTAATTTGCTTTATTTGTCGGTATGATTGTTTTGTTTTTTTATTAATTAATCTAAAATATATTGTTAAAAAGGTGTAATTTTTTTAAATCAAAATGGGTTATCATGTCATATTTGAATCATTCAGGTTGATAGTTGGTTGGGTTGAAGTTTACATTTTTGACTTGTTTATTAAGTGAATCGGGTTCGAGTTGATCAAATTTAGGTCAGGTCAATTTCGTGTCAAACCCTAACCCAATTTATTGACCTGTTTTGACATCCTTAAATTTGCATTAATTTTAGCTTAAAAAGTTATTGAATTTATTGTGAGATTAGATATTTATATTAAAGGCTTGTATTGCATTAATTTTAGAATAAAATTAATAAATTCAAAATTTACTTTGAGATACATTGATATAATTTATTTTCCGTGAATATCTCATTATTTTTTAAAATCTTGATTCTATATATTGAGTTGGTGTCGCTAACGGTTTAATTACCTTCTCTAAGTTTAATCAGTTGATTATATCACATTGAATAAGCTGTTAATAATTAATCTTTACATTATCAAAAAGTGAGAAATTATTACTTTTTGGGTATAAGAGATTTCAGTTAAATTTTATAAGAACAGTTATTTTTAATTTTCTTTTTGTGATTCAGTTGAAAAATATGGTAATTGAAACATGTGATATAAATAGGATTTCCCATACTAAACAAGAAATAATTTACTGTGACATTTCAAGTGCCTTGCATAAATTGAGCAGCTCCTTGTAAAGGAGCAATTATTACGTCCGGTGAAATCCGAATGTATACCGAGCAATACCGAGCCTTCAATACCGAGTTTTAGGTGATGTGGCGCGTGATTATTGGTCTCTGAACGCATTCAGACACCGGGCATAATAATTGCTCCTTGTAAAGAGTGGAGTCAATGGTCATACTTGATAAATAGTGCTCTCCTAAAAAAGTATATTTATATTTATGGAAGTGTTAATTAAGGCTTCGTTTGAGATGATTATTTTATTGTTTCTTAAAATAATTTTCTAATACAAAAATTAAGGCTTCAGTTGGAACGGTGTTTTTATTGCTTCTCAAAAAGTAGCTTTATAGTATAAAAATTAAAATTTTTGCACTAAAAAGTTGCTTCAAGAAGCAGTAAAAAAGGCATCCCAAACGAAGCCTAAAAGTTTTGTACTAAAAAATTGCTTTAAGAAGTAGTTAGCAAATCGTTCTAAACAATGCCTAAGAGAGAACTAATATGTTGTATTATGAAGTAAGAATAAAGATAATATCAATATTTATGTGATTCTTCAAATACTATCCTATATTTTTAAGAGAAAAGAGAAGATGAAATTCATTGTAGATATCACATATGGTGTATATAATGATAAAGACACTCATCAATTTTTTTTCAAAAATTGAGTGCACAAACTCCCAATAAAGAAATAAGAATTCTCAAATCTCTTGAGATAATTACACATAAGGAAATAAATTGAAAGTCATGATGAAGAAAAAAGTATTATATGACACTTTAAGAAGTTTCTTGAAAATTACATTTATATACCTTTTATGGATTATGTTCTTTTGTTCTATCTTTATTTATGATTAATTGAAATAACACTACCTTTTCATAAAATTAAGTTTCCTTAACTCCTCTTCTCTAATTTTGACTTGAAGATTTTCTATCAAATATTCCATCTTTATTTGGTTGGCTTTGCATAAATGTGCTTAAAACTACTAATAATTTATTATGAGAGATATGATATACAATTGTCCCTATCCTTTACACACTATTGAGCTTGAATCATGTAATCATCTAATGCTCACATTTTTTATCTTTATTTTTATTTATTTTTCACATTTACATCCTCCCATTAGCTCATAAAATTCTCTCTCCCTATGGCTATTATTAGTTACTCATTGTGCAATCCCTATAGTAGGTCTTGAAATTTATCTCCTCTCTATAGATCATGACCTAATTACCAAGAAATTATCTCTCCTTATCACATGCAATCTCATTTTCAAGATTATGATGAAAATAAGACTTATACATTGAAAACTAAAGAATAGGCCATATAAGTCTTTTGCTCTTGTAATAAGTATATATTTTGGGAGACTCATCTTGATTTATCTAAAAATTGAGATGTTGTCCTAACATTAGGAGTATATTCAACAATTAGGGCTTTTCATAGCTCTCAAATTGAAAAAAAAAACTTAAGATCATGATATAATCTATGGATCATATTCAATTAGCCTAAAAAAAAAAAAAAAAGAGGGGAAAAAATTAATATTAGAAGTGTGGGTTGTCAATGTCTGACACAACTCGAAAGCCTGAATCAAACAACCTAAAAATTCTTGGTTAGGGTCAACCAATTTGTGAAAAGAGTTGGGTTCAGGTTCAACAAACCGACCCTTTTAAAAAACCAGGTCGATCGGGATGGCCTGGAAACCCGGGAATGACCCAGAATGATCTAATAGAAAACATGCTGACCGGTCTGTCCACATCCGCCCTCGTCGACTGACCGCGTTGTTGTTGCATCGCGTCAAGTTCCGCTAACGAAGGCGACGCTGCCAGCGATGTCTGTCATGCTGCTGCCGTTACTGCTCAGTGCTTGAATAAGAATGTATCCGCGGGTTGGGTCGGGTTAACTCAATAACCTGTGCAGGTCGGGTTCGGGTTGAAATATAAATTTTCTGTAAAGAATGTCTATTTAATTAAAATAAATAAATATTTGAGTACTTCAGTAAGAACTGCTTATTTTTTCATAAATCAGAGCCATCTTATAGCTTTTGTAAGAAAAAAAAAATCCAATGAATTTTAATTAAAAGCAAAGAATTTATGCAAATAAATTTCTTATTTATTTATAATTATTTTTTAAAAGTTTAAAAAAATTTGATCATAGCTTTAGAAATTAATCGTTTTTGGCTTCTGATAAATTTTTTAATGAGATTCTCCTAATTTTTTTT